GTTTCGTTACCCTAAACGTGTTTATAGGCATAAATGACATCAGGGTCACTGAAAAGTTTGTTATTCCGGTTATATCAGATACTTATTTATAAGAATAAATTGATAATGTGGTGCTGTATACTTTAGCTGATAAATTAGCTGTTAACAAAGAACGATGTACATCTTGATAAGTTTAACGACATAACATATAAATTGACAGCATGAACTGTTTTATTTGGGATTTTTTTCAGAATGCAAAACTGGATACTACTATGCCTTTTGTGATAAAAGTTGTCCGCAAAACTGTAAGGGAGGTACTTGAAACCAGACCAACGGGCATTGCAAAGGTTAGTATATTATTGCCAATACTTCCACCGTAGTTTAGTTAAATGTTAATATGCTGCGTTTTAGCTGTGTTTAAGTAATGTACCGCTACCGCATTTGAAGCTCAGAAATATAATGTCGATCAGTTGTTAGTGTTTTTTGCATGGAATAAACAAGATATTGTTCAACAAATAAGAAAGAGAACATCTTGGTAATCTGGATAAGTAACGGTCCTTAAAGCCGCCTTATAGATGTCGGCATTGGTCCTCTATGTTTTCCTCTCTCTATGAGGTATGTACCATTGGTAGATACCTTTCTGTATATCAACATATAATGTGAACGACACAAAATGGATGATTTTCAATACCTTACAGTACTTACATAAAGCCAATTATACAAAATTATAATTACAAATACAATACAATAATTACAACTTCACCTGTGAGACAGTTTTCTATGATATCGTGATTGAAAACTAATCAAATGTGTGAATAGTAAATTATGGAACACCTAAGTACTAATTGATTATAAATATTTGCGTTCTGGTCACGTTTCAGAATGCCAAGCTGGATACTACGGTGTGTATTGTGATACAATTTGTCCACACGACTGCGATGACAACTTCTGTATCCAGACCAATGGATACTGTGCAGGTTAGTAAGTTATGGCAATACCTCTACTCTGATTTTTCAACCTTGTATTTAACTCTGTCACAATTCTTCTTCAACTGTTTTAATTTTGATAAAAATACTTTGCACTTTATTTCACGAAGAACACCGGCATTTATCTAAATTTGAAAATTATGTATCAAGCTACATATACATTCTAGATGTTTGATAAAATTGTGTATAAAATAGACATATATAAATGACTTCAAACTTATTTTTAAAATACACTTTTAAACTAATGCTGACTTTAATAACCTGATTAAAGGTCTTACAGACACCATTAATACTGCCGCAGTCGGGATAGGTGTCGGATGTGGAGTGGTCATTTTTGGTACTGGTCATCTTAGTTATTGTACAGACCAGGCGTCTCTCGATGAAGCACAGGGACAATACGGGACCTATTCAGATGTCCGACATTTTACAACAAGCCAAAAGACATGAGTTAAAGACAGATATAGGTAATTTTTGTAATGTTACGGAAAACGTCTTTTCTAGTTTTTATCTATGTGTATCACTCATATCTTAAAAGATAATCTAATGTCCTTGATGTAAATACGGGATCGTCAACAACTTTTTGGCAATATACATTTGTTTGTTTTAGCTTAAAAAAGTGTTATACGTAGGCTTGCTTGTACGGTTTTAGTGTACTCTTGGGGAAAATATAAAAGTATTTTAAAAGGGCAAAAATGCCCCTCCTTCAAGCAGTTACAACCTCATCCCATACTTTGGAACCAGATGTTCCGTATAATGCGTTCTGTTGACATGTAAACCACTTCATCAAGATTTTCTTTTGAAGAAATTTCAAGCTACGATATTTCAGTGTCTGTTGAAGTCTCGTACCTGTTTTTTTTCTTTTAATGCATCAACGTTGAAATCTTATGGGGTAGCTTAGTATCGATCAATATACAGACTAAACGTTTGTGATCAATTGATAAAATGAAGCCAGCATTAGAAAAATAAGTTTGTCTTATACAATTGTTTCTACCCCTATAGACGCTTTTGCTTTGCATTACGTTAAGTAGGCGTATTGATAACCATATTTTGCTTTTTGCAACGTAATGAATAAATTAAAAGCGTGACCTTACTTATTGCATTAGCAACGTCGCACTACGAATTAACGTATCGAATTATTTTTGTTAACTATATATTGCCGTCTTTTCACCTTTTTTTTTATTTCAGATGGTCCTTATGAAGTTGTAGACACTAAAAATGGGAGGCAAATTTCCAAGATCCACAGCTGACGAAAATTATGAAAAACTTGATTCCCTGACTAGGGCCGTCCCTAACATGTACGATACCGTAGGGATAGATGTGGATGCGGGATCCTAAATGCAGCGAGGAACGATTATTTCTGTTACAGTATTACTTGCTCATTACTAACTGTTGTGTGTGTTTTTAGCTTAAGTGCGGGATAACATATTGAACTTTTGAAACTTTTGCCCTGTCATGTTCCTATGACGAATATCTTACCAACTGATTTGTTTTACTTCGTCATCCACTGTGATTGTTTTGTCTAAAACATACTTGAAATATTTTTCTTTAAAACATTTCATGTCCTGCATACATTTTTGAACCTGTATTCATATATCATTTTCGGAAAGTCTATAATGGTCTCCTCAACTAGGTTGTCTCCCTTGGTACAGGTTCACTTAAGATGGAAATAACTATAGAAAGCAGAAATGGCGTTGTATGAATAAATATTCCAGAACTGTATACAAATGTACTAGTTATCGTATCCACGAGATGACATTGACCATGTCAGGGAGAGAACTTATATAGGATTTGCCTGTCGCCCAATTCCTTTAAATCGGATTGATTTAAGAAAACATGTTGAAATGAAAAACATTTGTAGTATATATTGCTTTTTCAAAAGAGACACTTAATGGTGAATTATACATATTTTGAAACAAACATTTTGTAATTATGAATCAAAAAGATACCTTAAGCAATAACTCGTTAAGACATTTACCAGAAATACAGTTGGGGGCAAAATTAACTTGGTATCTAGTGCACTTCTTAATGCACACGTAGTGAACAAGGAAGTGCACTTGACAAAACATTGAGGTACACTCCAGTTCACTTCAATGTTAACTCCAGTTCACTTCAGTGTTAACCCCAGTGCACTACGATGGTAACTCCAGTGCACTACAGTGTTTACCCAAGTTTTAATGTTTATAATGAAATGGGTTCCTTTGTGATACGAAAATTGAAAGAGAAAGGAAAGAATCATTCAACCGCAGAATTAGATTATCTAAGTCCGTGATTTAATTGAATATTTCATAATATCAAATCCACAATACACGTATTTTTGTGTGTTTTGATTACTTAAAATTTCAACTGAACATATACATGTACAAATTTGTACACCATCTCTGGTGATTAGAGAGAATCTATAGATAGCTGTACTTTGTCAGAGGCAAAAATTCAAAAGCACACGTTATCAAAATAATTCACATCACAATTTCATAGCAATGTTGTAGCGTCAGAATAGGGGATCAGTATCTGTTAAGTGATATGGGTATAATGTCGCACTTTGTATGAAAAGTGTCTCAAAAACACGACATCAATAGAGTAATTCGCTTCTTTGTTTTATTCAAACAAGTCAAGAAAAGATAAAATTCCAGAAAAATCTTATGTCATGGCATGGCACTATATAGATAAAAGGTAGATAAATAGACACAAGAATGTGTACAGTAGATACCAGAATGTGTACAGTAGACATCAGAACGTGTAAAGTAGACACCAGAACGTGTATAGTAGACACCAGAACTGTACAGTAGACATCAGAACGTGTATAGTAGAAATCAGAACATGTACAGTAGACATCAGAACATGTACAGTAAATATCAGAACGTGTACAGTAGACACCAGAACGTGTAAAGTAGATATCGGAATGAGTATAGAAATATCAAAATGTGTACAGTAGACACCAAAACCTGTACAGTAGACACCAGAACGTGTACAGTAGACGTCAAAACATCTACAGTAGAAATCAGAACATGTAAAGTAGACATCAGAACATATACAGTAAATATCAGAACGTGAACAGTAGACACCAGAACGTGTACAGTAAACGTCAGAACATCTACAGTAGAAATCAGAACATGTACAGTAGACATCAGAACATTTACAGTAAATATCAGAACGTGAACAGTAGACACCAGAACGTGTATGGTAGCGATACGAACATGTACTGTAGACACAAGAACGTGTAAAATAGATATCGGAATGTGAATAGAAATATCAAAATGTGTACAGTAGAAACCAGAACGTGTACAGTAGACATCAGACCATGCAAAATAATAGACATCAGAACATGTACAGTAGACACCAGAACGTGTAAAGAAGACACCAGAACTTGTACAGTAGACATCAGAATATGTACCGTAGACATCAGAACATGTACAGTAGACATCAGAACATGTACAGTAGATATCGGAATGTGAATAGTAGATATTGGAATCTGAATAGTATATATCAGAATGTGTACAGTAGACACCAGAACATGGACAGTAGAAATCAGAATGTGAACAGTATACACCAGAAAGTGTACAGTAGACATCAGAATATGTAAACCAGTAGACACCAAAACGTGTACATTAAATACCAAAACATGTTAACCAGTAGACATCAGAACATGAACAGTAGAAATCAGAATGTGTATAGTAGACACCAGAACGTGTATAGTAGATATCGGAAAGTGTATAGTAGACGTCGATATGTGTACAAAAGACATCAAAACTTGTACAGGTGACATGATAATTTGGACAGTAAACATCAGAACGTGTAAAGTAGATATCCGAACCTGTTCAGTAGATATCATTATGTGTACAGTAGACATTATAATATGTACATTTGACATCACAATGTGTTCATTAAACATTAAAACGCGTACATCAGTACATGTAGATACCACATCGTGAAAGACCTAAGTGAATGTACATACCACATGGTTTTGTATGAAAGTAAAAATATACTACCGTTTGTAAATGCTTGGTGAGGCAAACCTAAACAGCGACATTTCCCGCTGCATGAAACATTCATGTACATCTAAACGTCTGGAGTATATTCGCTAAGGATTAAGGAAAACACCGAGTTCTGGAATTGTTACAAACTATCTGCGTGATGACTGTATACAGTCATGACACACGTCTGGTACTATTTATAACTGCCTTACACTAGCTATTGAAATACTGGAGTTTAATCATGGGTAAGGTCATGCATGAAAACGCCTAGTTTTGTTTTGTACTCCACACTGTGCCTAACTTACTAGTTTAATACACATGAACCAAAGTGTGTTATATTTTTAACGTTACTGCCGACGAATGTACGTGTACACCTATATCTTACTTCCTGGTTGTCGTCTACAGCAGTTGTGTTAGTGTACGACCAAATAATTTGGTCGTTCTGAACTATCTATATGCTTTATATCATGCTTTCGGAGCACTACCGAATAATATTCAATCACTCAAGATGGTCAGGGGTGTAGAAGCTGTGTCCACATTGTTTTGGATAGTTTTGTTGAGTATATTTCCAGGGATTCGAATGAGTAGTAAGTTTACAGTTGTTTACTTATTTATTGCGTTTATTGTCAGCCATTTTTCATGTGTACATTAAACATCAAAACGTGTATAGTAGATATCGGAATGTGTACAGTAGACATCAGTACATATATACTAGCGGAAAAAAGAAACTGTGCATGCGGAAAATTGGTATAGAACATGTATTACCAACTGTATATACCTGAAAATTCACAAACATGACCGAGTATGACACATACACACTATCCATGTGTCATTGACAGTTTTTCTCGTGCAGTTTGCTCTGTATAGGCGTTGACCAGTTTGCACGTTTTCTTCGTCCAGCCATCCAATTCGACAATGAAATTTTATTTTTTAACTGTTGGGTCACTCTGTTGAGACCAGTGAACAGTAAAAACAGCATTATAACGTTTTAATTTGTGATTAATGCTATGCCGAGGCTCAATGAAAATGACCACCTCCGGATTATTGGTATGGGCCAAGCCGTTGTCTCTACACGTTTTCATGTCCATCGAAACGCAATCCGGGATTTGTGGAGACGACATCAACAGTTTGGCCACGTCGGCGATCGACCTCGTGCGGGACGTCCACGTGTGACGTCACGTCAATAGGACAATTATATTCGTCTTGTCCATTTGATCAATCGCTTATAACGGCAAGTTTGACTGCACGGACAATCCCTGGGTTGCAACCAATATAAGCCCGGGAACTGTACGGAACCGATTGTGTGAACGAGCTATCCGTACGCGACGTCCTGCAATCACTCTTTTAAATAAGATAACATTTTCTTATATAAAATGTCGACTTTATCTATTTTACAACAATTGTGAAACAAATTATATTGCGCCACTCGCCCACCCTCGGCACATGTCTACGGTTTCTAAGGAGATGGGGTGGTCATTCAATGGTAATTTTGCGAATGACGGAAAGAAGTTTAAACAGTCCGGACTGCCATATAATAAACGCTTATTATTACGAATACTTGACCCACTGCCCATACCGGGCGACCTATTAAACACAATGGACAATGCAAAACCTGATCAGTCATGAGACCGTACCTGTATGTGTGAGCTAGGTAACCTCATGTTACACGCCTGTTTATCTTAAATATTGAAATTGATATAAAAATGTTGATAGTGTCGATTCAAGGTAAAAGTCTGATAACGTATTGAGACATTGACATTATTGTATTACAGCTTAATCGATATGGTACATCTAAACGGCTGTAGTCTGTTCGCTAAGGATACGACACCGAGTTCTGGGATTGTTACAAACTAACTGCGTAATTACGTTATATACTCGTGACACACTTCTAGTGCTATTTATAACTGTCTAACACTAGTTATTGAAAGATTGGATTGTATACATGGGTAAGGCCACTTAATGTTCGTCTCTTTACATTAACAATCGGATGGCTGTTATGAAATCCCGTATCGACGAATGGTAATGTCTAATTTGTTCTGTACCCAACACTGTGCCTAACATACTAGCTTAATTCATAACATTACAACTGACGGTATTAACGTATACATCTTAATGTTTATAACAAGGTTTTTGTCAATGTTCAGCAATGCAACAAACCCTAAGAAATATTTCCTGATACTGTCATAATACTGATAATCTGTACTTAATTTTGTTTCGTTTGATTTGGACGATTTTTAAATGAGCAATAACCCGGCGTGTTACCTGCATGTATCACGCACATACGTTATTTCCTGATCTTTATCCATAGTTGTAGCGTTAGTGTACGACTATTTGGTATGGTCATTCGAACGTGGATATGTGTTAGGTTTAACTTTCGGACCACTACCAATGACATATAATCGTTAGAAATGGACAGGTGTACAGAAGCTGTGTTCATAGTGTTTGGGGGTAATTTTGATGAGTATAGTTCCAGGGATTCTAATGAGTAGTAAGTTCACAGTTGTTTATTTCTTTATGGTGTTTATTGTCAGCCATTTGTCAATTGAAATAAGGTGGCACTTTGTTTAGGTTTACTTTTGAAATATGATGTAGATAGCAGTTATTCAATGTGGTTTGAAAGCGGGCACACATGTGTCTGTATAAACATCGATAGGTGTGTGAAGTAAACAGATCAAATCGGAAAGTTTAACATTACTGTAGTGATACACCTTTTATAACTGTTAATGAGTGTATACAAAAGTAAAATATTTTACCTAAAATAAGGACATCCGTTTTGGATAAGATCGTGATGAGTTAAAAAAAAGCCTGTGCTTTAGTCAAAGACAAAATCAATAAATAATGTATATTATTGGTGCTCTCGTTTGTAAGTTGGAATACAATTTTGTTTAAACACAATTATGATTTACTAATGTCTATGTTTCTATATAACCACTGCAAACACGAACTTCTCCCCCTGGCATCATGGCGATAGAAAGAGATTCAGGTTGAAAGAGTACGATAATCTAAAAGGTCCCATATCTCATTACTGTATAGCGGTTTAGAGGCCACTATTGAGCTAAATGGCACGTAAAGACTACGGTAAACGGTTTTGTATTTTCAAAGTAACAATTATATATATTTATGTAACATGAAACACGCCCATTAACTAAGCTTTTGTAAAAAAATCATATTACAATTCATTTTCGTGCGTTTAGTTAACCTGAAGAAAAGACTGACCCTTAAAGCCACCACGTACGAATATCCTATTTCCGGTAACAAAGACCACAGACGGAGATTACGGCCCTTTCGATACAGGTGGTTGTATGGCCGCCAATGGGGCGAATCCAGCAAGGTGGCAAGGCACCCTGCCTAGTAAGGCAAGAATACAGAGAATCGACATTGTATTTAGAACTCCAGGTGAGTCGTTCTTATATCGTTACTAATTTTAGAGCAGTAAATTGATCTTGTCCGATACTTCCATACTATGGAGAGTATTTTGATGAGATTGAATATTATATTAATCGGCATTACACATGATATCTAGAGTTAATATTATAGAAAACCATTTTAGCTTCCCAGCAAATATGACCATAGTACATTTGTGTTGAATTAAGTGAATGATTATCGATGCCGCACTAGGTTTTGTATTTTGATTTTGTTTATATTGGAGAAATTTGAGAAGACGGAATGATAAAATACTTCCTGTTTCTTTAATTTAACTATTAAATAAAAATGACAAATTATTTCCGTTGAATGGCAAAATCGAACCAGGGCAATATATGTAAAAAAGTCGGCAATTACTGGAAAAAGTCGGCCAATAAAGAAAACCACATGATTTGACGGGAAACGAACGCATCCCAACAGTCAGTGTTTCAGGTTTCAAGCCAATACGTTTTGTTGAAGTGATAAGCGGTCTGTCTGGATGATGTCTTACTTTAGTATTGTTGATAAGTTATTTCTGTGTTGGCCAAGGTCATAGTCATCGGCCTGTTACATTTGCCTTCGACTTCGCCTTAGGCCAATGAAGCTGGCCTCGGACAATCAATAATACTTAAGACATCATCCTTTCTAGCTTACTGAGTCATTATATGAGTCGATGTTCCAGCATCATACGTAGATAGTATAAACGATGTATCTTTGCAAGACTTTCATTATACAAAGCCTAACCACACACGCATTCATGATATTTGAAGTAAAATGCATTCATATTATCTTCCTGTCTTTCTGTAAGAGTCGCACACCACACATAATAATAAAACTACATACTGTATTCATATAGATCGCATCTTATTTGAATAAAGATGCTGTTTTTCAGTTGTGAACGTATCCATTCAATGATATTTTGGTGTACCATTTAGGTGTATCATAGTAGGTAACGTACAATCGTTATTGCAATGGTATGAACATTTACTACGGTTTGATTGTTCGTATTGATTCCTCTTCGACAGAGCGTGCCGATGGCTTTGCCTTGTGGGTATCAAACGATACCGGTATACCGTCCGGTATCAAATGTTTCGAGGATGTGGACGTCGGCTTCCCAAACCTTACTCAAAACATCACCTCGTGTAACAGAACCGGTCAGAGAGTGATGATAATCATCACAAGGACAGCACCAACACTAGCGTATATGGACGTGTGTGAGGTGGATGTGTATGGTAATTTATAATTTGATGAAAAACTTAATGCCAGAGATGATTTCTTTTTACAGAATATGAAACCGCCTATAAATTCAATGCAGGTATATACTTTCTAGGCTCAAATTCATCATGTCAAATTGCGTTCTGTTAAGTATATGGTACGGCAGTTTATAATCGACTACAGATTCATGAAGTGGGCATACTACGCAAATGCAAGTATAAAACTTCTATAATTTCAAAGTACTCATGCTTTTTTATCAATGTATATCTAAAAGTCGATTTGTGAAACAAATGTTCCTCTATTTTCTTACATATTTGTTAATAATATAGTAATACATTTTGACAATTCATCTATCAGGTTGTTTTACAGATACATATGGTGACCAGTGTCAATACAATTGTACCAACTGTAAACACGGCTGTGACCCTTACAACGGAGTTTGTGATTCAACACACTGTAATGCGGGCTGGACTGGACCACGGTTTTGCAACCAAAGTATGTAGCATTTGGGACAAGCGATTGTGTAAGCATTGTTTTAAACCCGACACAACAGACTTAAATAATTCTATAATGTTTAGTAGGACTGGTATTGACCATGATCTAAAAATTAGAAACATAAAAATGAAGGACAATGAAGAAAATTTGAAAACAAGACAAGGAGACACCAAGATATTTGATTCAGTTGATAAAGAATAGAGCGGGCTGTGATGCTACATGCACACATGTCACAACAAAAATATGTATATCATTCAAATCGGTTAGATAAATAACTCTAATTATGGTAGCAGTTCAGCAACATGATGTATATATGTATCTCCATTCCAGCTTGTTCATCAGCTACATTTGGAGAGAACTGTGTTTATGAATGTCGTTGTAAGACGCCCGGATGTAACGGACTGACCGGACAATGTAACACACCAGGATGCAAGGCTGGTTACCATGGAACCAGTTGTAATCAAGGTTAGTCACGGCTTTTGGTATCGTTATCATAAATTATTTGTCCATTTGCCCACAGAATTTACAATTCAAAGACATTTAACATTAACAATTAATTTCATCATAATGATTGATCTTTCATGAAGTTTATCGATTGAAAATAGATCTAAATCCTGAATGCACTGCATATTAAAGATCATGTGAGCTTGAACCTTCACCATGTGTTTGTTATCAATACATATTTACAGAACAATAGTATATTTTATTTGTTGCTTAAAAACCGACAACAAAATAAAGGTCAAGTCAGTACTGTAGAGTTATATATCAAATGTTTCCATATTCCGATGAATTCCTGAATTATGTACGAGTGCATTACAATTACGATGTTACATGATATGTAGGGTGTACTAGTTACATAGAGTTACGGTTCTTGTCTACATCACAATAAAGACCAGCGTGCTATTACATGTAACCCCACCTTCTCTAAGACCCCCAGGTGGTTTTTATGAAGGGGTTTTATTGGATAAATATTCAGGTGAACCACCTCGGCAATTATTTTACAGTCAATCATACATACTAGGTAAATAAAGGTTCTTGTTTTTATAAGTCAGTAGAAACTAATATATTTCATTACTTTCAGTTTGTTCGATCACAACGTTTGGCGAGAACTGCTCATCCGAGTGTAACTGTGATACTCCGGGTTGTGACTCGGTAACAGGTCATTGTAACGTATCCGGGTGTGTTTCCGGCTGGAAGGGGGCGTCATGTATTATACGTAAGTTAAGGAATTCAATATGGCTAACGTTTATATTTGCTTAAACAAAAGTCCTGTAAAATATTCATTATTTAACAGGAAAAAAATTAAAAAAATAAGCTTACACAAGACTAGTATAAAACGTACCACGACAGAGGGGCGGGGAGACAAGTCTAGAACTTAAATAAATAATAGCAGTTAAAATATCTATTTGTTTTGTACTCCACTGAGACGTCCAGGAAACGTTTGAATGAAATAACCCCCTTACTAGCGTGACACTAACATATTATTATTAGATCTTTTCAGTTTTAAATAAGAGAACACACTTTGAGTTTGTTTTGTTAGCATAAATGTAATACTGCCATGCAGTAAACTTCGTTAATCAATTGCCTTACTACATGTATAGCGTGGTAATATTTCAATCGGAAAAAAAGATAAATCGGAAAACCAAGAGGAATATGTTGCCCCATCGTCATGTCCTTACTGCTGCGTCTGGACCAGTTTTTTGATGTGGGTGTACGATAGGTTAAAAATATAAATGCGGGGAGTTCATCTTTGTTTAGTCTGCCATAAAATAGGTTTAATAGATTTAATAAAAACAGGCGCTTTTTAAAAGAGAGGAACTGTATTTTTTTAATTATTAATTATTTAGTCATGACACGTTGCTGCATGTATTTGCAGAACAAATTGTCCCAAATGATTGCATATTTCGATTACTGTGCTGTAGATACTTTGAAAATCTATATTTTAAAAGGCATGAAACAAAATATTTGGATTGCAAAAAATGCATATTGTTAGTGCTTCGCGCTTATGATGTAATATTCTAAAAAATAAAGGAGATGGGCAAATGCTTCGCTGTTCCCAGAGCTTTGCGTTTTCTCATTAAAATATGTCCTTGTTTTTTTGTACAAATAACATGTGTAGGACACATTTAAATGAAATGCTTTCTTTTGATACGTGACATACACGTGTAAATGAATTGTCCTAAAGAGCAAAGTAATAGCTGCTTGTTTCTATTTACAAGTTGTACAAAATGTAGACACACAAGTTTACGCACGCATTTTTGTTTGTTAATAAAAACGACTATTCACGAAACCGTTTTCCCGCTCAAGCTCAAATTCTGTGTTAAAACCCAATTTCTTGTCCCCTGATCAATCATTTTGTCAAGGTTTGTCATTGAAGAATTTTACAGAAACTTAAACCCGAAACAATTTTTAATGTTTATATTGACTTCTTGGCAATGTTGCTTGATTTAAGCGAGTAACAAGACACTTGGCTTGAGCACAGAATTCATACACTTGAGCATGAAAATTGTTTCATGAATACTGACCCAGATCTGCATTTAATTAAGATACGTCACTAGTGGATATAAACGACATATGAAAGTTATGAGTATCCTTAACTAATAATAACTTTTCTGTATAGCTTGTGCCGAGGGAATGTTCGGTAAGGATTGTAACACTCGATGTCACTGTGCTGTACCCGGATGTGATAAGGCAGATGGAACTTGTACAGACACAAATGCAGGCTGTTTAGATGGCTGGAATGGTTCTTCCTGTAGCCAAGGTAAATAAGGTCCATTTAACTGAAACACTTAATTTATTTTTTATAACTAAATGAGACCGGAGCCAATGTAAATACTGGGTTCTGATGTTCCAAATTTCATTAGTTCAACTGAATAAAATCGCAGTTATTAAAATTTAAAATGCTACCTCCTTTTTTTAATTTTTCTATAGCATGTGTTGCTCCTTATTTTGGAAATAAGTGCACATCACGATGTAGATGCAAAACAGTTGATTGTAACCACGCCGATGGGACATGTGCAATACCTGGATGTATATCTGGGTGGATGGGAACGTCATGCTCAACACGTAAGTACTGATTTATCAAAGAATTACTTTTTACGTATTGTTGTGAACTTCACCAGATTAACATTGCATGTCGTCCTTGATATATCCTTATTCAAATCTTTTCGCTATTTGTCATTTTGTTTACAGCATGCACACAATTAATAATTATAAAATGCTTACCTACAGAATGTCCCAAAAACATATTTGGAGAAGACTGTCTCATCACATGTCATTGTATGACCCCCGGATGTAGCCGCTTCAATGGAACCTGTTTGTCATCAGATGGTTGTAGTGATGGATACGTTGGTAGCTCGTGCAGTACAAGTAATAATTACTATAGAATCAATATACAACACCAACAAAACTTTAATATAATAAAAAAAGTAACATTGAGACATCTAACTGGGTCATGATACATTTTACAAATATAACTTAATATTTACTACATGTATGAATAGTGTTGGCTGTTGTGATATTTTTACTAATAACCAAAACATTTGCACTGAGACTTCCCGATCAATTGATTAATATATACTTAAATAGTTACTATTGAGACCTTCGTACAGTAATGTCATCTTTTTCTTAAGATAAAACATTTCTAATTGAAAAATAGTCTTGTTTATTTACGGTAGCAAATATCTTATTGGTTTTAAGACGAAACATTGTTAATATGATACACATGTAACACATCGACATTTATTTAATCAGAATGCAAATCAGGACATTTTGGTGCTAACTGTACGAACCAATGTCGTTGCAAGGATGCTGCATGTAGTCACGTGACAGGAAACTGCTCTGCATCCGGATGTCTTCCAGGCTGGAAGGGTGACACGTGTAGCGAACGTGAGTATATCTTCATCAGAAGGTCGTGCAAGATTCATCTTTGATAATTCTCACTTTCCTGTGCGTAAATGACAGAACTGTCTAGGGCAGGTGACGTGCTTAATAGGACAACAAATGTCTTGATGTCACGAAATAGGAAACATTCCGATCAGTGATGCCGAAATTGGGTTTGCTGTATGTGCCTTCAAGGCTAATTGTGATTGTCGGAAAGAGAGAAAAATACCTTTTTATGCCAAGGGTTGTAAGACATCCCGATCAATTGATTAATATATGCTTAAATAGTTACCATTGAGACCCTCGTTCAATAATGACATTTTTTTCTTAAGATAAAACATTTCTAATTGAAAAATAGTCTTGTCTATTTACGATAGCAAATATCTTATTGGTTTTAAGACGAAACATTGTTAATATGATACACATGTAACACATCGACATTTATTTAATCAGAATGCAAATCAGGACATTTTGGTGCTAACTGTATGAAACAATGTCGTTGTATGGATGCTGCATGTAGTCATGTGACAGGAAACTGCTCTGCATCCGGATGTCTGCCAGGCTGGATGGGTATTACGTGTAGCGAACGTGAGTATATCTTCATCAGAAGGTCGTGCAAAATTTGTCTGTGATAATTCTCTGATTCCTGTGCGTAAATGACAGAACTGTCTAGAGAAAGTGAAATGCTTAATGGAACAAAAAACGATTTGACGTCACGAAACCGGAAACATTCCGATCAATGATACGGAAATTGGGGTGCTTTATGTGACTTCAAGGCTAATTGTGGTTGTCGGAAAGAGATAGAAATACCTTTTTATGCCAAGGGTTGTAGGATAGGGAAATTCTACTCTCGGGATGTAAAAAAAACAAATGGTGCAAAACTCCCGACTTGAGTTTAACCAATTTAGAAAAAAAAAACACTCTTGATTGAAAATTATCTGATGTGCAGCACTGGGCACATTATTTTACCATTATTCACGGGTGGGGGCTAGAACCTGTCCCGTTGAGCCAGATTCCCGCGAAAGATATTGGAACTCTTCTGTATACGCGAAGTTGACGCGTTAAATTTTGAGTCGGAGGAAGACATACGTAGCAACAGGTCTGGCAGTTCCGTGCATCATGTTCAAGTCTCTGATTCAGCTGAATAATGCAATCAGAGAGTTTGAATTAAAACACAATTTCATGTTTGTTGCTCTGAAGAAGGAAAAGGAATTAGGCGACGAAGAAAATTAATCGATAAGTAAGTAAATCTACATTATTTTATAATAATTATTATCAGTAGGCTTACACTAAAGTATACATCGCCCATTATGATCTGTATCTGTAAGATTCACCATGATCAGGTTTAGATCTACCGATAAACTATAAACTGATCAATGGTATAAATCAGTGCTCCAAAAATGTTGGAATTTTCATAGGACGGGATGTTTTTAGTTTGTTTTTATTTACCATTATTTTTATATAGATCTGTGTAAATGTACATATGAAACGAACTCCAATAGTTTACCCAGACTCGTATGTAAGCAGCTGCCATCTTACTTAATCTGTTAATGTAGTAAAATTAGTATATGCTTAGATCTACTGTATAGCTATTTGTGAATCCTTAATTAATCTATTTTGTTTATAATTATTCATTTCGGTAAACAGTACATGCCAAAATCAAATTCATGTATGTTAAATATGTTGTGTTTGAAATGGTGTGTGCTCATTTGATTTACATATAATTTATTTTAAAACCAAATCACAATAATAGGAAATTTAATTTCGTTCTGAACATCTATGTTGTATTTGGTCATTCACAGCTTGTAGTATATCACACGTATAGTGTACATCATATGCAGGATACATTTTTATAAATTAACCCATTTTAAAGTTTTAACATTTGTTATTGATTTTGATCAGATGGCTGAAACTTTGAATAATTGTTTGAATATTTTGTCTTTACATTTTGTAATTTGGGGATCCATGCACTATAGGCTGATCAAATTGGGCACACATGTGCTGGTATTCTGGTCCACAGGTGATCAGTGTGCTAGGTTATTATTGTATTGATCAGCCTTACAGAGAGGAAGCACCACATGCTGTGACCAGTTTGTCACATTCTGTAGAACCTTAGTCATAAGTGTATCAATCAAGTTTATTGTCTTAACAACTTAGCCTTAAGTAATTTAAAACCATATTCATGATACTGCAGACATAAATATTTATTTTTATATAAATATGCTTTGTCCTTGAAATAGGCCCTGGGGAATCCACTAATACATATCATGTGCTGCTCCCCTCCCTTCCACCCCCATCCTGCATCATTGATGTTTATATAACACTTACACACTCAAGGTAATATTTTGTTTACATATTAAGAATCTAAAACGTCAGACTTGTAGTG